ATTTAGATGCCAACAGAATATTCACCTCTGACAGGACCAAAAAAAAAAAAAAGGATACAAAGGAAAGATCATTTTGTATTTATATATACAAAATAGTTAGGATAAATTTACAGCTACTTTCACTTAATTCAATGAGAAGAAAGAGGTGTACTAACAGTGCTTGAACAGAATATCCTGTCTGCTTCTTGTACTATGGATAACCACTAAGAAGATAACAATGTACAGTGTACTGACTATCAAAACTGTCCTACTAATCAGCTGTGAAACTGTCTCATTCATATTTATTTCTCAATTAAAAATAAATAAATAAATAAGTAATTGGCCACAACTATAAGGCAGGTATGGTGACATATGCCTATAATCCCAGCACTTGAGGCAGAGGCATGAGATCAAAGTAAGTTCAAAGCCAGCCTGGGCTATATGGCAAAACGTCTACAAAAACAAAAAGAAACTGGCTACAACTGGTACAGAGGTTCAGAAAGGTGTATGAAGGTAACAATTACCGTAAACTTCAAGCTAACAAATCAGCATGGAGTGAAAAAGCTCTCTGAAGAGTAATTTGCAGGGAGTTAATGCATGTTTTGTTGATCACTGCAGGGTGTCTTCCTATTTTTAAAAAAGGGATCTGTGTATCTTGGCATGGATATCTAAGTTATGGCATGTAAATTATGTAAAGAACTGTAGTTTATCTCAGGTATTTGTTAAATGGATCACAGGGTCTTATGAAAACATAGAGCAGATATGGAATTATTACTTGTATAGATACAAACTGATAGATGACAGTACATAACTTTTAAGTTACTCAAAGCTTCCTGTGTAATAGGCCCATAGTAAGTACTCAACATTCATTATCTCAATGAATTCAAAATGCGCTTTACATGAAGTGGGCCCCACCACGTTCATTGTTCAGTGGGCTACCTTGGAGATGTTAAGAAACCTGACCAAAGTCACACTATTTGAAATTGGAACTAGACTTAAGAGCTCCCAGCTCACAACAAGTTTGGTGTGAAAAACAAAAACCAGTGTGGCTTTCCTAACCCTTCCCAGCAGAGGTGTCCAGGAGAATGTCAACGAGCCCGCCCCTTCCTCGCCGGGCCGGCGAACGCCTTCTGGGACCCCGGCACAGACCGGTTTGCCCAGCTAGGACACTCGCTTCCCTCCTCGCCCTTCCCCCTCCCGGCTCTCCCAATCTCCGCCCTTCTCCCACCTCTACCCGCGCCCCCGTCGCGGGCACCCAGCCCCGCGCCCGTCCTCGTCCCTGCCCTCACTCGGTCGCGGCCGGGAGCCGTACCCCCTGCTCACCTGCAGTCTGGCGGTCCCGGCCTGGGGGTGTCAGCCGGAGGGCCGGCGGCGCTGTCCGCACTGAGCCCAGAGGCCCGGCGGCTCCGTCTTCGCGGCCGGGGCTGCTTCAGTGCCGCCGGCTCTGGCTCCATGTCGTAGAAAAGGGGGTGGAGCGGTGGCCGGGTGCCCGGGAGACCGACACGGACGGGCACGATGCCCGCCAGCTCCAGTGAGGCAACAAGTGCCTGCTAACAGGGAATCACCGCCACCATCATCCGGGGATTTGAAAATGGCGGCTGTGCTGTAATCAGCCAATCAAAGAGCACGCAGGGGTTGCTAGGAGCCACAAAATCCCGCCCCTTCCCCCTCCAGCAATAAAGATCCAGAAGAAAAGGAGGGAGAAAAATAGAATGGGAAGTAATCCTCCTGTTTTCGACCTCCGCAGAACTGGGATTATTGGCCTGTGCCACCACGCCAGGTCTCATTGGCCGTCTCTGCGCGCTCGGGGACAGATCCAGCACAACAAGTGTGCTGGGGATCGAATCCCGGTTCTTGTTCTTGCCTAAGCAGGAACTTAATCTGCTGAGCTATTTCACTAGCCCTAGGAAATTTGGTTTTAATTCTGACCCATCCTGGAATTGAAGGAGCTATACCTCTTTCACTGCTTATTAGGATTCTCACTGCAGGCGAAGACAATGGACTGGAAGTATTTTAGTTCACCAGTTCTAAAGAAAAGAGAGGATAAAATAATAACCTGAACTGAGGTTTGGTTATTGGCCATGTACACTATAAATTCATGTGATTATGGAATTGTGTTACAGGGCTATCTCCAGAAAATCTGTAAAAGCGGGTTATTAGACTTCCTGTATTCCAGTAAGTTGTATATAGTCTCCCTGTAGGTCCTAAAGCTTGTTTTGATGGTATAGTCAGAGGTGACCAGTCCTTTGGGAACTTGTAATAATCTCTGTTAGTGTTCCAGGATGTTGATATGAGGATCTAGTGAGAAGTACATTCTAGTGATCAGAACATTATTATTTTAGGCATTCACTTGGAAACATTGTTTTCTTCAAGTATTCACAAGTACTTATTAAATTCCTACAGTAGACCTTTATTAGTAGTGCAGGAATTGGGGATAAAAAACAAATTAGAAATGAAAAAATTGGGGGCATCATAGAAGCAGAATTAAAGAAACTGGGCTATATTGAGAGGTGATCAAGACTTAGAAAAGGCTAATAAAATCTCTGGATCCTTCAAGAAACCAACTGTTTGGCAGCTGAATGTCTGTGTCATCAAATTCATTGTTTTACTCTGCCAAGGACAGTGCTGAATACATGACACATTCTCTGAATCCTTAATATAATCTTTGGGATTTGAAGAAATGAGTTAAATTTCAATATAGATAGATAGATAGAGATAGATAGATAGATAGATAGATAGATAGATAGAGATATATATAGTCAGGCCTAGCTCTCCCTTATATATTCTTGGTAACTTTATTGGAGCTAAGAGTTACCCAAATTTCTTTTCTTTCTTTTCTTTTTTTTTGGCGGAACCATAGATTGAACTCAGGCCCTTGTGCTTACCAAGGAAGCACTTATTCTACTGAGCCATCTCCCCAGGCCCCCAAATTTCTTCAACCTTAGACTGATGACCATTATTTAGAAATATTCTCTTGGGGGCCTGCCCCTTAGCCCAGTTCTTTAAGTGGCTGCTTCAACAAAGCAGTCAGGCTCAGCTTGCTGTGGTTCAATCCCCACAACTCAAGCCAGCCAAACATGCCCTGAAGGCATTCGGAGCAAAAAAAAAAAAAAAAAGAAATATTCTCTTGAGGAACTTCTAAAACTTTTACCTATCTGCAATGACATTAACAATTATACAGTTTGATATTAAACATATTCAACTACCAATATATGACTATCAATTAATATGAATTCTGAATCTGTTCTCTTACATCAACTGGATAAATCAAACTATCTTTGCAAAACTGCTTACCAAGTAATATATATAGTGCAAAACATTTATCAAACCAGTCTAATATTCTTTCAATAATTAGTTAATTTTGATGAATTGTTTTGCCACCATTATCACTAGATACGTGTGCAAGCTCACATACAGAGCTGCAAAAAATTTATAGTGACTTTCCCATCAGAGAACTAGTAGTTTAATAACAAGGGAATTTCTTTCTATATAAATAATATTTTTCTTTTTTACAACAAAGGTCTCAATATCTGAGGAACTCACAGCAATGTGTATGCATATATAATATAATAATTGTTAAGAATTGGAAAATATAGTATCTCTATTATTAAGTTATAAGACTACTTATTAGACTAGCTTTAGGTTGGGTCAAACTTATTTGCTCCTACCAAATGAAAGATGCTACAGTCCAATAGTTATGTATGTAGGCTCTGTTGCCAGATTATAGTGTTTTATGACTACTCAAGATTTAAATAATCTGCCTTTCCATCAATATCTTCATCTATAAAAAGGAATCAGGTGAGTAATAATTATAATTCTAGTATTTCAATGAATTAATATACCTTTGGAAGAATTGCTGGCATAGAGTCAGCACTGTACTGCCTGAGTTTTTATTTCCATGAACAAAATTCATGTTGCTATTAGTGAAAGGTGGGAATTGGGTGGGTATTTAAAAGTTCATCCATAAAATGGAGATGGAATTTAATGCTAAAGGTGAAAGCTATATCCCTTATACTGTCATGGGATGGTGACATAAGATACTGCTAGTAGAGGTGGAGGTTAAAGGTCTGGTAGGTCAGAACCAGAGCATTTGTCATGGGGCTACCAGATGTATAGTGCCTAGGAAAGTTCATATCAGTCACAGCTGATATGAACAAGTCAAAGGACCTGGCTGGTGCTTTTAGGACTGCCTAGGATTGGACAGGGTAGTTAGGCAAGAAACTAGCTGATCCTTGTGATGCCCAAAGGAAGCCACAAAGGGCCCAGGAACCTGGACTTTCAGGACTAACTCAGACAGATAGGCACTACATCAGATTCCTTTTGGGTTTTGTTTTTATTTTGGGTTTTGTTTTATTTTGTTTGTTGTTTTGGCTTATGGGACAGACCAGGGGAGGTTCCAGGGGTAGGTAGGGACTGGGCAATGTAGGAAAAATGTAGGTGCTCAGAACAGCTATTTTGTATCAACTTTTATGAAAGTACTTTACTTTTTCTGGCATGTACACTATATTTTATGTATCAGCTGTACATAACAGGGTTTATAGAGGATACTTATATAATTTCTTCTCCTTTGGTTCTGTCATTCTTCAGATTTGACTTGACACTCTTCATCTTAAATACTTCAATTTCTTCATCAAACCATCAGTCTCATATTTTTCAGAAAAATCAGGATTAGAAGAATGTTTTTAAAGATATTGGACCTATAAGGCTTATATTGACAATGGGAAAGTGATTTTTATGGTAAATTATTCCTCAAAGAAAAATTTCAGGAAAAATATCCTATAAGGAGGCACAATATGGCAGAGTATTTCATGTCAGGTTTATTATTTTTTAAATCTAGATTTTATTTTTGAGACTGGGTCTTGCTATGTAGTCACTGTGTGTAGGGAGGGGAGGTTGATTCATTTCTCTTTTTTAAAAATGCATTTTAAAAGTATTTTTTTATTCATTTTATGAGAAATAAAGGTACAATAGCTTATTTACTTATTTATTTGGTACAGGATCTCACTATGCAGCTTGGACTCCTAGTGATCCTCCTGTCTCAGCCTCCCCAGCACTGAGATTATAAGCATGCACCACCACACCCAGATTCGGTGGCTGGTATGCCTCACCTGCGGTTCTGGGGTGGCATGGCATGCAGTGCCAGGGATCAAACTTGGGTCCTTGCACTCGCTGGACAGGCACTTAGACCACCAAGCTATCTCCCCAGCCCCAATTCATTATATCTGTCTGTCTATCTATCTGTCTGTCTGTCTGTCTGTCTGTCTGTCTGTCTGTCTGTCTGTGTCTATCATTTTTGCTATAAATTGGATCTTAAGAATTTTCCAGAGTTTCATGTGCTAAAATTTTGATCCCCATCAGGACCTATTGGGAAGTGGTGGAATCTTTATGCCATGAGGGTCAGTAGGGGGATGGTCTTCATTAGAGCGATAGTGGGACCCCAGCTCTTTCCTCTTCCTCTCATTTCTGCTTTCCAACTGTAAACTGGTTTGTGTCAACACATGCTTCAGCCATATATGCTGCTGCAAGCCCAAAACTATGAGCCAGCTGATCATGGACAGAAACCTTGAAAACCATGAGCCCAAACAAACCTTTCTTTCTATAGACTGATTATCTCAGATATATTTTTATAGTAAAAGGAACTGGTTATCTATCATGTATGATTTATTTACTGTATTGGGGTTGTTCACATATTCCAATGAGTAAAGAGAAAATTCTAAGTTTGGAGTGTTAGGTATTAGGCTTAGAGAAGAATCAAAGTTGAAGAGAAAAATGCCTAGCCAAGAAAACACTAATACTCAGAAATAAACTAAAACTACTGTGCTTAGACTCTTAATGAGAGGTCTTGGAACATTTAAAAGGTTGAATTACGTTCTTCATGGGAAGGATGGACAAGGAAGAGGATTGGGATACAATGAGAAGGGAAAGATAATGGACAGAAATTCCCACTGTGGCATCCAGGGATACCAATGAAGAATTATCCACTCCTTTCTTTTCTTTTCTTTTTTCTTTTTCTTTCTTTCTTTCTTTCTTTCTTTCTTTCTTTCTTTCTTTCTTTCTAATTAATTAATTTATTTTTTGGTGGCTGGCTCAGCCTAAGTATCTATTCATTTCAATAGCCCACTTTTAATTGGGTCTTCTGTTTTATCAGGTCAAGTTTTTTTGGAGTTTTTATGTATTCTATATATTAACCCATTGTTGGTGCAGCAGGCTTTTTTTTTTCTGTTCTAGGTTGTCTCTTTATACTGTGGATTGTTTCCTTTGCTGGGGAGTTTTTAAATTTGATATACCAGTTGTTGATTCTGAATGTTATATCTTGTGCAGCTGGAGTTCAAGTCTTTGTATGCAAATGTTTGAAAGTTTAAGGTATTTATCTTTCAAGAGTATCTGTTTTAACATTTAGATCTTTAGTCTATTTTGTTTTGATCTATCTAGTACATAGTGAGTGATACAGAGCTAGATTCAACCTCCTGCCTGTGGAGAGCCAGTTTTCCTAAAAAAATTTGTTTTCTGGGGACAGGGTCTCACTATATAGTTGAGGCTGTCCTTGGACTCACTGTGA